CGCATCCCCACAATACTGACAGCCAATTAAGTAACAGCCTCTCTATCATGATAAAAATTATATCATTGACAAAAAATGAAAAGGAAAAACCATTAAACTTCCACTCAAATCTAAAGAACAAGCCATTAAAATATGTGCAACTGATAGACTCAACTGCATCATGTGGTGGAGTAAGTTCACAGAGCAAACCTATTTTCTTCCTCAAAATATTTGTGTTTCTTGTGTACATTTCAAAGCATACACTAGGCAGACGGGGATCAATCACCAACGAGACAAAGTAATCTTTGATTATTATCCTTATCAGAGCTATTATCAAACATGCCCAAAAGCAATCAAGAGAAACAGTCTGAATTGCGCTTAATGTGTTACTTATGAAGCACTTAGAGTTAGATAATTGACTTATGACATAATAGGTGATAGCTTAGCACAGACCACAACCACATAACAAGGTACCAACACCTTTTCATACCATAAAAAATCAAGCTAATGAACAATAGGTGAAAACACGTATTGAAAAGAAAATGGGATCTCCAACAGTGAGCATTACTAAACAGCTTACACCAAATAATCATAAAATCAGGTATCCAACAAGGCATGACCAATGAAGAAACCAAATAGTGCAGCTATAGATATAAAGAGCTTACTTTGAAACCGCACTATGCCCTGCAGCTGTAATCCTTAAGAGCTCCTGTTTATGATTAATCAAACAATAATAAATGACCAACACATAAAGTAGAAACTAAATACTGGCAATTTAGAGCTATTTCTAAGAAACTTTATAACTACAGCTACAACTGTACCAGGAAGCATATGAAGTAATTACCTCATCAAGGTCTAAACCAATCTGAGATGCATCACCATCACCAAACCGCTCTGGAAACAAATCAAAAAATTTTAACAAAGCCAAAATAAATTATGCCAACAAACATTATTAACTAGTCAAAGTGCCCAATCAAGCTGTGATGGGGAGGAACAAATCATAAAAAATTTTAACAAAGCCAAAATAAATTATGCCAACAAACATTATTAACTAGTCAAAGTGCCCAATCCAGTGGGATGGGCAGTAAACCCCCACAGCTGACACGCAGAGTCTTCCATCCAATCCAAACTGAGATGTGGAGTAAACACGCCATCCATTGTATTTGCAGGGTAATTTGCTCCCTTGTACTGACGTGATGATCAACATAGTTACTGCAAAGAAAGATTTATTGTAACAGGATAGAATTCTTCCACTGGGCAGCTTAACTAAAAATTACCATCAATATGAGTTATCAATTTGCAAACTATGATCCCTCATTATATTAAATAGATCATATGAGAAGAACATTAATACTGGGGTTATTAATGGTGCCTACAAACAACAAAACATTTTAAAAACGTCTCCTATGCAGAAAAAGGTGTTTCTTATGCAGATAATAATTACAGAATTAGGCTCAAGTTTGGTAAAATAACAATGAAATTGAAAACAAACTAGAACATTTTGAACTAACCCCTGAAAAATATCATTATCTGGCAACTCAAAATCATCAAGATCAAAGTCTCTGGCAAGGGATAGAGTGATGGCGCAGTCGATTCTTCTGGCGGCAAATCAACTGCAGTTGAGCGAAAAGCTTGCTTTATCTTAAGCAAAGCTCACTGCAATCATCGAAAGGTAATTCACCTTTCTAGAATATATCCTCACCACACCAAGCAAAGATGGCTGGACAATCTAGTGCAATTGGTACTTCAGGAAAAAGAATTGAGTCTGCTCAAATGAACAAAAACATTTATGCATTAGATAACTAGGAAAACAGTTGTTAGATACGGGATGAGAAGCAGAATTTAGATTGACATAAAAATGATAGACAGGAATTATTGCTTTATTTTCTTTCTGTGATAAAACATTCCTCACAATGTAATAAACAAAAATAATGAAAGATCAACCTCTCAAGCTTTTGCAGCAGAAGTAAACAATCTAGAGCGTCTCTAAATATCCATCCAATCTTTTATATCTTTAGAGATAAATATACACACATTAATATCTTCATGATGTACCAAGTATTAATATCCAGATTAGATCACATTTTTATCTTTGATTTGACTGTCATGGCAATCAGATAAAATATGTGTGTAAACATCATAGAAATAAAGGAAAACACAAATCTTATGATCTAAGGCAATGGTGATGTGAGAAAGGAATGTAAATGCGAGCAAGGTTGAGGGTTACAGAACAACAAAGATCATGGAGTTTAAACCAAAAACAGATAGCAAAATTGGTGATAACGTCAATAGAATTCAACACTGTGCCTGTTAAATGATTTTGTCACATAAAATTCATTCTATAACTACTTCCAAAAATTCAAAACTTAATATCTCGTTTCTTTATGTATAAATGACAGTAAAATACTTAATAAGCCTAATATTAGCCTAAAAACAGGGAGCCTATTACAAATTCCAACAGACAATTTCAAGTCTGTCCTTCCATGATATTATAAAGTGCGAAATTACATATACAAAAAGATCCAATAGCTGAAGAAAAATTAAAAAAAAAAAAAAAAAATACTAAATTAATACAATAAATGCATCTATGACTTAAGCTTCAGCAAGGGCAACACACTAATTAAGTAAGTAACCATGAGTTATTGTTTTCTTCATTTTGTTTCCGCATATTCTGCAACCTCTAGATGGAGTTTAACAACTAGGCCGTAGAAAATATCCTTTTCTCATTCCTTCTTTAAGAAAAAGAATGGAAGATAAAAGGAAACCAATAATACAAACTCTAACACCTTAAGTAAGTCACTATCTTACACTCAGGTACAAATAAAATTAGCAGAATCCGACAATTAGCTTTAATTAGATAGGATTCCTTAAAACAACAAAATTCAATTAATTTAGAGACCAAAAATAAGGCTATCAAATTGCATAAAGCAGTAAATGTAATACTAACCTACTGATACTCCGATATCAGTACAGCCACCTGTTCTTTCGAAGCTTCTTTCCAAATGGGCAGCTATCCATATGGTTCCTAAAGGCCCTTTCTTGGCCAAAAAACTGTGAGTAAAACCTTCTCACCCCCACTCAAAAAAAACCCTAGCTTTCATACACCAATAATAACCTTATTATAAATTTAAACCAAACGCAAGCTTCCAGCTAAAACACTGTATTACTTCAGCCAGCTTAAGAAAACCCCCAATTCTACCTTTAGCTTCAATTTTCTGAAAACCAAAGATAACACTAGACATTCACCACATAACTGAACCCCAAAAAACCCTAATTTCAACTCCTAGTCAAAACGCGAATTCAAATTAAACCCAACAAAACTCCCAAATTAACAACCAACACCGGAACCCTATCTTCAATACAACACAATTCCCTACTACTATCCTCCAAAACCCTAATTACAAACCAAATTCGACAAACACCCCATACGAGCTAAAAAAACGAAACCCTAATTACTCATCTCATACACCACCCTCTTCGAATTTCAGCAATTAACAACCAGCTCCATTTCCAACGAAATTCACCGAAACTTGCCACCCGCAGCAGATCGAATCGTGTTGAAGAAATGGCAGAGCTTTGACGTAAAAACCCTAGATTTAGGCCCTCAAACGACGTCTTGTAAGCTTATACCTTTGAGCTGAGTGAGAGATCGGGAGGGGGAGGGAGTTGAATGATTTGAATTTTCAGAGAATAATCTAAATAGAGAGAGAAGAGAAAGAGAAGCGCCTTAAGTTTTTTGTTTTGTTTTTGTTTTCAGATTTTAGAATTTTTTTGTTTTGTTTGTTTTTGTTTTCATGTTCGTGTGTGTTAAGGTGTGTGATTGCCTTAGTGTCACTGTTTCATACTTTCATTGGTTTGAATTTTGGGTCCTTTTTCTTACAAATTTCAAATTTGTCAACTATTGGCTAATTTTGATCAATTTGGCATTTTTTTCATCAATGATGTATTGTATGGTAATATTAATTTGTTTTAATTTTATTTTTTTCTAAACTAAAAATTATCTTTTTTTTTTTTTATTTTAAATAAATAATGACGTGAGTGCGAGATCGTGAAATTCAAGTCATTTTCTTCATATTTTTCCTAAAGATTAAGAGGGGTTGCATTCCTTTGAATTCATTTTGTGTTTTATGAAATACTTCTTTAATTTTTTCAAAAGTGAGTAAGGGATTGTAAAATTCAAGTTATTTTCAGAGGTTCGAAGAAAACTGTAATCCATAATCATAATTCGTTTATGATTTATCTAATTTTTATGAGAAAATGTAATAGCAAAAAAGATCGATTTAAATTATATATTTTGAGCGCTTGAATACTCATTTGATATATAGTTGAAATACAAAATGAAAAAATATATTTTTTTGTTTTCGATATATTTATAAAAAACACAATAATGAATGAAAATGAAGAAATCTACTACAAAAGCCTTTTGGTTTAAAAATTGGTAATAAACATATTTAACACGTTTTCTACCTTTTTTTTTTTTATTTCTCTCGTGCAAGTAGCCAAATTTGTTCTGTTATTTTATGAGAGACTTCCTATTTTGTAATGTTAAGAATCATAATATTTAGATGTATTATTTGTGAAAATCAAAGAATACCCATCTGTGGGTAGTCCAAACGATTAGGACAAATAGGAGATAGTGTAGATAGACGCGCGATCTCAAATTTAATTTCCATTTGAGCATTATGATTTGAGTGAGGAGGTTATAACAGTGGGTTGCTAAGTTAGTTTTTGAAAATTAGTCAAAATGCATATAAGTAAAAAAAACAAAATAGAGTTTATGTTAAATGATTGTAAAAAAAAAAAAAAAAAAAAAAAAGAAGTAGAAGAGTGTATTGTTTTGGTAGCTCATTTTGCTTCGCATTTCTTCATATGCCCATAAATGTAATGCAGTCATATAGTTTCAACGTTACAACATTTGAGACTGCGCATGCATTAGGCATGCTCGTGAGTCAACTTGTATAATCGGTTTCTAAATTGTGAATTGGAGTAAAATGATTTCCGTTTATTGCTTTCGTGTGCAGGGACGGAGCAGATGTGAGGGGATACTTTGCATGGTCATTGTTAGACAACTTTGAGTGGGCTCAAGGTTATACCAAACGTTTCGGTTTGGTTTATGTTGATTACAAGAATGGTCTTGCCAGGCATCCCAAATCTTCAGCTTACTGGTTCTTGCACTTTTTGAAAGGCGGTGAAGATAAGAATGGCAAAGAAGAGTAATTGACTGTACTTATTATATACTGCTAGTCACCCTACTGAATAATTTGTCTTGACCAAATAAAGCCTATGAACTATCTTAGCTTTATTTATGTGTTCTGACTCTTTAATGCCTTACTAAGTCTTTCATTTCATCTACTTCATCTTCTAGGCTCTAGCTATTGAGATTTGGTTGGTATATTTGAAAGAAGAAACCAGGTAGAATAGAGAAGTGCTTGATGTCTCAAAGCCCAGGAGTCATCGAGCGAGCAGGTCATATCATCTATATGTTCAGAGTGTAATGGAGCACGTCTTGAGCATGCTCTTTGATTTTGAGCATAATCCATATGTTCAGTGTTTACATTGTAGTAGTGCATCATGAACATGGTACTCGATATGAGCGTAATAAAAGTAGAGCGAGTCAACACAATCATGTCATATGATAAGTAACCATTTTATGAGATTCGAGACCCAAGACGTCGTTGCTAGAGGTCAAGTATAAATCTAATCTCATGAAAGATCAATTGAATAACCATTTATTTTTTCATAATTAACATTAAATTCATCCACCAAATGCTAATCCTATTTTGCTGTTAAAAACTTAAAATACAACAATTTCATTTGCTTTGTCAAAGTACATGTCATTCCTATAGTCGTCCAATAAAAACTTATCGTGTGACAAACTGTTATCGAACAAGCACATAGATGACATGATACACTCGTCTTATCCAACAAAATCCAAATAAACAAGTTATCTAGATTGTAATTAGTAATAGTTCTGGTTCTGGGAATCGAAAAATAATGTAGACAAACAAATAATCATCTTCAATTGAAACTGTTAAATATTATACAGATATATACATATAATTTATCATCCTATCATCCATTACAACATTTTGGCTACAATCAACAGTATGACCTGTGGCACTGGATCTTGCTGTTAAACCTACCAATTACATCAACTAAATAAGGGCATAATTTAGAGCAAAAAAGGGAAAAAAAAAAAAAAAAAAATAAAAATCCAGTGAGAAATAATCCCCGACCCAGATCAAGCGTCAGCCGAACTACAACTACTAAATCTTCCAGAGTATCTGCCTTTCCTATGTGAGGGATCAGAAATCTGATTTTATGGCTTTGCTCGCGGCTTTTATTAATGTTCTCCAAGGCCTTCGGCTGTTCTACCTGGATAATCCTTTGTTTTCAGAACCTGACATTTGGTTAACAAGAATTCGTTATGAACGATGAACAGTATCAGAGTTGAGCTGTGTATGGCTAAGGAAATAAATTGCACACTTCTGCAAACCCTCATATGACTTTGCAGTTCTCTTGTCGAAAAAACAGAGTCCATGAAAGTTTGATGACATACCAGTGTTTCGAAAAACATTCGTCTAGCTTCCTTACGAGTTTTACCAGCTAATAAGTTGTCCAAGGCAAGAACCTTTCTTCCTTGTACAGGTTCATTCTCAAATAGAGTTTGCAAGTACTTGGCAACAGCCCTACAAAAAGAGTACGATACAATAAAACAAAGTAGCTCCTAGTAAAAAACGGCAACTATAGCAAAATATTACTAACCAAATGAATTATTAAGCTTGAAAATTAAACAAATAAAATTGACAACCCCAATAAACGTGGTGACTCAATTACCCCAATCATCTATATCAGAAGGCACATATTGATTTAAAAAAAAAAAAAAAACATTGAGGGCCAATCCTGGATTAAATCAAATCAACCTCATTTTGGAAAGAGTGTGAGACGGGAAACCAACAAAAAAAAAAAAAAAAAAAAAAGCAAGGGATGGAGGCAACAAACAGTAGAGTTTCTTCCTAGGTAGTAATACATGAACAGGAGAAATCAACCAGAAGAGTATACACCCTTGTGCGGGAAGACCATCCACTATTCTCAAGAAGGCGAGTGTCTTCAGGACACCCCATCCCGTCATCAGATCTTCAACTACTTCATCATCATCTACATTCAGAAATTCTGAAAACAAAATGAAACAAATCAGCCAACAGACTCAGCACACATGCACTAGAACTAGAAGACTTTCTTACTATCCTAGATCACAGTTTTCAACGTTCATCACACACAGAGTGTCAGAAATTTAGATGGTATTCCAGTCCCAGAAAATGAAGCTTACAATGCACATAAGAGAATAAAACCTTTGAAAGATGTAAAAAGCCACACAATGATTTGGTTTCAGAAATTGATAATTATACAGTGGTCGCCTATCCCTACTCAAAATTCACTCAATAGGTAAATGAAATTTTCATAGCATGCACTTCATTCAGCCAACAAACTTAATGGATTTCTGTTTAAAGCTTCTCATGAGGAAAATAATTCTAGGAGACATCAGAATTCCAAAACAATAATAAACAAAAAGAACGAGAAGCAAACCTGTATCATGCCAACTGTGATGCCTTCAAGTTCCGTATCACAAAGCAAAGGCAATTAGGAATACCTCAAAAATTATCTATGGGACCCCTCACTTCTGTCAGTAGATATAAAATTTTACAGCCGTCTTTACATCATACAAAAGTCAGAAGACCACTGAACAAATGCATACGCTACAGAAGAAAATCCAAAAAGAAGATCAGTTGTCCAACTTACACCACGATCTTCAGCAGCAGGATGGTCAACGTCTGGAAAGATTGGGTTTTCTCCATCATTCAATGAAGTATCCTTCAACTCTGTATCATGTTTAACTGAATTTGTAGAATCTATTAGAGGTTCTTCACCATTCACACAGTTAGTGTTCGCGCCAACCTATCACAACCAGTCCCCAGACAGGAACCCTCTTCATTCACAACACCATTGCAGTAAAATCTGTCAGACCACCACCTCATTTTCTACAGACACACATTTTGCCTCCCTCCAAAGGAAGTTCATCCTTGCTTTCAATTCACTATCAATTGCAACAGTATCTTCTCCTTCAGCAGCATCAACTACTTCCCATTGTTTGTATCCATTAAAGTAGCACTGTCTTCAATAATTGAAAATCCAATTTCTGCTCAGGTGTAATGCACACCTCCATCTGCAGAGAAGCACCACACCATCGGTTTTATCGTCACTGGGCATGTTCTGAATTTCTACAGGACCGCAATCTCAGATGATTTCTCAATCCCATGAACGCAGAGCAATTAGCTGTCTCAGCAACTTCACCAGTACTCTGTCATGTCCATTTCAGTTACCTCGGCCAAGGTTCATTTGGCACTGTTTCACTCAGGTGCATCAGTAATAGCATTGTACCCCCTTGAGCATCAACTCATGAAATCCTAAAAGGTGGTCACTAATGAAGTCACCGCGGCTGTGCTTCAACATGAACCACAGGATCTTTGCTACCTTCCTCTCCACCTTCAACAGTAGACCTAAAGGAGCACTCTGCATTCTTTGCTGGTTCAGAAGACCTGATTTTCATCAGTTTCAGAAACCCTGATTGCTCAGATCATGTTTTCACAGTGCAAACTCATTATTCTGCTGACATACCTGAAACATATACAAAAGCCAACTGATTAATCTGAATGGATGTTAAACTCCTTAATTACCTGACACAAATTTGTTTCAATAAAAACAAAATGAAAACAAAGATATGAACTTAGTGAGGTATAAAAATTCCTGGAAATTGATATTACAGTACAACAACTTATGTCCATGAATTGTCTGATGAAACTTGAATCCCGAATATCAGATTCACGTTTCAAACTATGTCAGAATTCACAGGTAGAACGCATGACGAGGAATAAACATCATATTGCAAACTGTAAGTAACACACAGCAGAATGTTGAAACCAAAGAAACCCACTTTGATGAAAAACCTTCTAGTGAGGTAACATCGATATTTCGTCACAAATTATCCAGTTTTGTATGATTCATATCAGCAGATTCCATGCACTAAGCTATCAGATATGTAGAATCACCCCCACTAAGGAAAGAAAACAAGTAATAAAAGAGAGGGAAGGGGGAGACTGAGAACCAATATCATTCAAAAACACAAATAAGATTCTTCTATGTCAATTACATTAGCGGAAGCAGGGCAGGGGCAGCCAGACTAGTAAACTTTTAGCACTACAACTCACCAGTAAATACAGGTCACTAAATATTTCATCCTCCAAGAATTGTTCTAATCATCAAATTTCAGGGCAGTGCAGAGCTTTTTTTCGTATCCGTCGTATGTCTTCAGTATTGTCATTGTTGGCGTATTATACTTCACAGATCAATGCAGATAACTCATCAGTAATTTATCAAAGAGGCAAGGTTAGCATAAGCGATAACTAAGAGAACAACGTAAAACTCACCATGCTGTATTGACAAACTTTAACATTTGGAATTGAAACATGAGAATGTACTTAAGTTATGAGGTAAAGACAACCTAATCACTTCTTTCCTCAGCTCCTATAAAACCACCTATTGATATTTTTTCTCTTTGTGGATATCCATTCTACTAATGCACTTATCTCTTCATTTTTTATTTCTTCAAAAGTTTAACAGTTTCTTATCAAAAAGAAAAGCAATGTGTCAAGTCAAGCAAATTTGCAAGGGCATTGTTAAGCCAGTAATAAATAAAATATTTTTGCTTCTCAATGAAGAATGCCAATTTAGAAACTAAATTCCTAAGAAACTTAAAAGAGTATGAATAAAAAGACTTTGATAAAAAAAAGAAAATATATATATATATGAACTCAAATGAGGAAACAAGAACATACTCGCCATGCAAGACCTGGTGTCATCCATAAGCACCTTTCTCTTTAACACTAGTTTGATGCAGAACGGGTTCGTTTTCAGATGCCACTTCAGGGGCAGGTGAGTGGGCTTCAATTTTAAACTGAAGATCTTCTCCAACTGAAACAACGATAATTCATTTCAATCATAAATTTTTTTTTTTGTAGAGCATAATTTCACGACCATAAACCACAACTCTGAAGGAAAGGCATTCATATATCGGCCCTTCTAACAACCACAACCACCCAGAAATGTCATGCTCTATAATCACATAGAACCAAATTGATACCTAAAATAGATGATAAACTCATCATCATCAGGAATGGATTCTGAAGTTTTCTTAGATCTGCCACCCCAAGGATTCAGATAGTTTAAACTCTCTACAGTTAGTGTACTTTCTGTGTAACTACGCTTTTTCCCTGACATAAGTTTTTTCCAGCATCAACCCCATCCTCCCTGCTAAAGCTTCTTTCTCTGGTGTAGAATCAACTAGCAAATCAGTTGGTTTATCAAGCCCTTCTGGTACAGAACGTACTTTTCTGGTTCAGGCAACTCTGAAATTGTGGAATTATTCAAATTTTCTAACTGGTGATTAGAAATCACATTGTCCAAAAGCTCATCTGACTTATTGTTATCTGCATGATTTCTCCACATACAGAAGGCCCTGATATTTGATTTTTCTCTGATTGCATAATGTCGGTCACATGGCACTCTCACCTATAACAATGTAAACATTAATCTGGCCAAGTCAACTTTATCAAACAGAGAATCACATTAAATGACATGCATAAAGATCATTCTACAAACCTTGCACCTCAACACCCCCATCCCTTCTGGATGTCCCTGATGAGTGCGGCTCTACATCCTCAGATTGTAAGTTTGTAGCCATTGCATTCATGTCCATATCCAGGAGAAGACACATCAGGTTGACTCAGGTGTGAGCTGCATGGCTTTAACACGTTTGTACCACTGGATGGCATCTCTTCATGATCACCAGGCTTGTTTGAAGTCATGGGATCATTAGACTCCTGCCCAGCTGGCCTTCAGCATCCACAATCGCCAGTGAGGCAGACCAGACACTATCAGCAATTTCAGCATCACTTTGAATTTGGTCCTGTTTATCTTGACCATCCATCAAACGCCTTCTGACACAAGCTCATTGGTGCTATCAGGACAAGTTCTATGACCGGTTCCTGTGCATCAGAGGTGGCATGAGAGCAACTAGGGGATGCAGCAGTTTCTTCTGACCTAACTCTTGTTCTACAGATAACAATTTGGAACATTCCCGCTTACACCAGCATTTTGCATGTTTTTTATTCTGTCTGAACATCTAGTGCACCAATGGTCCCCTCTGAACACTCTGATCATAGCATCGAATTGACAGAGTTACCAAGGGCTTTGCTTGTTTGACCTCCAGATCTCTGACATGGTGGCCATTCTCCTGAGGAAGCGGCACTGAACAATATCACAATTTGAATTATTTTGCAAAGACCAATCCATAGCATTGCCATCTGCATGATGCAAATCCAGCTTACTTAAAGGATTTATTGTGCTCACCGTAGCCACTAACTCATTAGAATTGCGATCTTCTGATTCCAAATGATCATCACAGGCCAAGCCTCCTGCACGCAGGACATTGGCTCTTGTACCAGTCCTGGAGTAGATGGTGCTTCAGCATACTCAACAGATTCCACACGGACACCGAGTCTTTCAAGCTGGTCACAATGGAGAGGTAGTAACTATGAGACCAAATCTAGAACACAAATCATCCCCACAATATTCAAATAAGCAAGATACTAAGTACAAATACAGAAACAACCTAAGACATATATTATGGAAATATTAAAATTACCTGATTTGCATTGTCATTCATTGTTGTGGCTTCTGAAGTTTCATTTATCTGCTCGTAATATACTTGTTCCCAAGCTTCAATGGTTTGACAGATCCCTGAGGATCAGCACTGTGGAATAAAGTTACATCAGAATTGTTCCATATAATTTATAGATAATCCCATCCCCACAATACTGACAGCCATTAGTAACAGCCTCTCTATCATGATAAAAATTATCTCATTGCAAAAAATGAAAAGGAAAACCATTAAACTCCACTCAAATCCTAAGAACAACACATTTAAAATATGTGCAACCCGATAGACTCAACTGCATCATGTGGTGGAGTAGTTTCACAGAGCAAACCTATTTCTTCCTCAAAATATTAGTGTTTTCTCTGTGTACATTTCAAAGCATCACTAGGCAACGGGGATCAATCACCAACGAGACAAAGTAATTTTGATTATTATTCCTT